AAAAGACAAAAGACAAAAAAAAACAAAACAAAACAAAAAAAAAAACCAAGCCAACTAAACAAACAAAATAAACACCATGAACATCGTTCTGTCTCCTGGCCTATTAGACCTATTAGGGTCTAAAAATATCAAAGCCCACCTGATATGACTTCATAAGTAGAATAAGCTTGGATTGGTGCATGCAACAATTTGCTCAGGTCTTTTCCTGGGTCTGGCTTTTCTTTGGGTTGTGGGACTCTGCATATGTGTGTGAAACTTTTTAAGTTTCTTGCTATTTGATACTCAGTTTTATAAAGGAATAAGATGAGTGATGTGTTTCTGTTTCTTTCTAGGATTGATCTCAGTACACGAAGGTGACATCTGGTTCCCCCATATTTGGTCATACTAATGTAAAAATGTTTATATGTAATTTTGAAAAAGATGTCCTTAGCTAATGACACCCAGTTCCACCCATCCTCCTTCCTGCTTCTGGGAATCCCGGGATTAGAAAACATCCACATCTGGATTGGATTTCCCTTTTGTGCTGTGTATCTGATTGCACTCATAGGAAACTTCATTATCTTATTTGTGATCCAGACTGACCACAGCCTCCACGAGCCCATGTTCAACTTCCTGGCTATGCTGGCTACTATTGACTTGGGGGTGTCCACAGCCACCATCCCTAAGATGCTGGCCATATTCTGGTTCAGCCTCAAGGAGATAACTTTTGGGGCCTGCCTCACTCAGATGTTTTTCATTCACATCTTTACTGGCATAACTAACACTCCATCATAATTGTGGATATTGAATTGACAGAATCCATTAGATGGGAAGTGGCTCGAGATGGGGTTATGTGAACTAGTCATCATCAGTTCTGGAACTCCAACTTTATCTCCAAAAAGTCTCTTCTTCAGCAGTTTGAATATGTTGGTGGACCCCTTAGTGTCTTTAGTTTTTTATTTAAAATAAACTAACATTGTTTTCATATTCTTATCATCCTGTGCTCTTCAGTGTCTGGCATTCCCTTTTGGAGATTACTATATAGGAATTACCAACTTATTGGGGCTTATGCATTTAACACAGATTTTATATTAAATTATAAAAAAAATTCTTATGTTATTTTTCACTTAGTTTATATGTATCCAAGAGGCTAGTGATCATCTATTTACTTAGATTATGATAACTAAATATATCCAGAATCATCAATGAGTTCAGGAAACATCTTATAGAGGTGGTTCATTCACATGGAGAGATTCTTCTAGCAGCTCACGATTTTTGTGATATTAAGGAAAAGGAGTGAAACCCAACTGATGAAAGTAATGAGGGATCAACATGAACAAGAGATAAGTAAGCACATATATAAAATAAAACAACAGTGGATCATGCATAGAGACATTAGTTTATGTTAAAAACCAAGAAACAGGGGCTGGCCTGTGTCTCACTTGGGAGAGTGTGGTGCTGATAACTCCAAGGCCACGGGTTCGGATCCCTGTATAGGGATGGCTGGTTAGCTAACTTGGGTGAGCGTGGTGCTGACAACGCCAAGTCAAGGGTTAAGATCCCTTTACTGGTCATCTTTAAAAAAAAAAAAAAGTTAAAAAAACCCAAAAAACAAGAAACATACTTAATCTAAATAATTGAAATAGCCATAAAGGGGTATATAGACAGAAATAAAAATGCAGATAAGTAACAATACAGTGTGGGAGGGAGACGATGTTTGAAAAGAAGGAACATTTAAGTAGCCATATTTTTTCTTATTTAATAAAAAAAAAAACCGGGCCGGCCCGGTGGCGCACTGGATAAGTGCGCCCCTTGGGAAGCGCGGCGGCGCTCCCGCCCGAGGGTTCGGATCCCACATACAGACCGGTTCCCACTCACTGGCTGAGCGAGGCGCGGGAGCGACCCCGAGGGTTGCGATCCCCGGTCCGGTACGGGGGCAACACTGAGGGTTGCGATCCGTTGCCGGACACGGAAAAAGACAAAAGACAAAAAAAAACAAAACAAAACAAAAAAAAAAACCAAGCCAACTAAACAAACAAAATAAACACCATGAACATCGTTCTGTCTCCTGGCCTATTAGACCTATTAGGGTCTAAAAATATCAAAGCCCACCTGATATGACTTCCTAAGTAGAATAAGCTTGGATTGGTGCATGCAACAATTTGCTCAGGTCTTTTCCTGGGTCTGGCTTTTCTTTGGGTTGTGGGACTCTGCATATGTGTGTGAAACTTTTTAAGTTTCTTGCTATTTGATACTCAGTTTTATAAAGGAATAAGATGAGTGATGTGTTTCTGTTTCTTTCTAGGATTGATCTCAGTACACGAAGGTGACATCTGGTTCCCCCATATTTGGTCATACTAATGTAAAAATGTTTATATGTAATTTTGAAAAAGATGTCCTTAGCTAATGACACCCAGTTCCACCCATCCTCCTTCCTGCTTCTGGGAATCCCGGGATTAGAAAACATCCACATCTGGATTGGATTTCCCTTTTGTGCTGTGTATCTGATTGCACTCATAGGAAACTTCATTATCTTATTTGTGATCCAGACTGACCACAGCCTCCACGAGCCCATGTTCAACTTCCTGGCTATGCTGGCTACTATTGACTTGGGGGTGTCCACAGCCACCATCCCTAAGATGCTGGCCATATTCTGGTTCAGCCTCAAGGAGATAACTTTTGGGGCCTGCCTCACTCAGATGTTTTTCATTCACATCTTTACTGGCATGGAGTCAGTAGTACTTCTTGCTATGGCCTATGATCGCTATGTAGCTATTTGTAATCCTCTGCATTATAGCACAATTCTTACTAACAAAGTAGTATCCCTAATTGGTTTTGGGGTGGTTGGGAGATCTTTTCTCTGTGTGTTTCCCTTTGTTTTTCTCATCTTGCGACTACCCTTTTGTGGACACCATGTCATCCTCCACACCTATTGTGAGCACATGGGTCTTGCTCGTCTTGCCTGTGCAAGTATCAGGGTTAATATCATATATGGTCTGGGAACCATCGCTATCCTGGGGTTTGACATTGTGGCCATTGCTCTCTCCTATGTCCAAATTCTCTGTGCTGTTTTTCGTCTCCCCTCGCGCGAAGCCAGGCTCAAATCTCTCAGCACTTGTGGTTCCCATGTCTGTGTAATTTTGGCCTTTTATACTCCAGCCCTCTTCTCTTTTATGACACATAGATTCGGCCATAATGTTCCTCGCTACATTCACATCCTACTGGCCAATCTGTATGTAGTTATTCCACCAATGCTGAACCCTGTTGTGTATGGAGTCAGGACCAAGCAGATCCGTGAAAGGGTGGTGAGGATATTCATTTAGAAATAAGTGCTATATGAGGAATTCCAACTTTTGTGTATTACAAAGCCAATCTAACATTGGTTACAAAAAAATTATAATTTAGGATGAAAAAAAAAGGAAATTTCTTTGGCTTCTGCCTGGGAGCATTTTCAGCCAGTCAGAAAGTGAGCTGATATTGATATCTTTGATTACAAAATATGCTCATCACTGTCAAGACAGTAGCTGGAGATATTATAATTTAGGATGAAAAAAAAAGGAAATTTCTTTGGCTTCTGCCTGGGAGCATTTTCAGCCAGTCAGAAAGTGAACTGATATTGATATCTTTGATTACAAAATATGCTCATCACTGTCAAGACAGTAGCTGGAGATAATGTAGGACATTCTGTACCTCTGATTCTTTGGGTACTGATCAGTCTGTCTGTCTGTCTATGGTTTTGTTTCTTTCACCCTTTGGAATTCTTTTTCTCTTCTCATCTATTGCAAAAAACATTAATCTTTTATTGTGAGAGTATAAACAGCTGTGTTTTAGCTGACCATATCTATTTATAAAGTGTATTTTCTTTTCCTAAGTAAACATGAAAATATTATCTATTATAAAAATGCTTCAAATCTGAGTTGATCATTGGACAGAAAAATGCTCAGCGATGAGATTTTGCTATGGATTAGTATGAACAAAGTAAGAAGAGACCAAACCAAGAGGACATTCACAACCTGTGCTAAAGGCATTAGCACTGATCCTCTCCTTGTTGTTAAACCATGTCAGTCTCCTTTGTTGACTTCTTTTCTTCTCTCATCCATTTCCTTACAATTTGATTTTTCTAAGATCAGTCACTTTTTTCTATTCTCTTCTTTATGTATATTTTCTAGTTGACTTTTTTAATCCATAAACTTCAGTTCAGTCAATTGTGCTAGATTACTCAATTTTTCATAAATATTTTTTCCTTCTTCTCCCAGTATAATCAAAACCTTTGCGAAGAGTCTATTTTCAGAATTATGGAGTGCTTGGGATACAATGACGATTATCCCACTCTCCTTGACTTTGAGGAACCTACAGAGTTTCTACTAATTTTGCAAAAATGCAACATAACAAAGCTATAATAAATTGCAATTTAAGAAATTGCAAAGAATGTAGTATAAATTGATTAATTTGGCAAGTTTAAAAAGTTGGGACTTTGATCTGGTTTAGGAAGGATGTCTAAGTTTTAATACTGAATAAAATAACATTCCATTAAGATATGTTATAAAAAAACAAATTTTGAAAGCTCTGGATATGTTCAAAGAAATTAATATAATTAATGATGTCTTCAGGGTCTGATAAAGCTGTGAAAGTGGAGAGAATCAGTATGTATCATGGTATAGAATTCTAAATTTGCCTCATAATAAGTACCTGTGTAACATCTTGTATAGCCAAATTATTTAATCTCTCTAGGTTTCAATTCCTTTACTTCATGAATGATAATAATAACAGTGACAATTAAAGCTGTTGGATAAATTTTTAAAGATATAATGATTGCAAAACTTATTCCATACTACATGACACATTATTAGTACTAAATATGTATTTTTATTAATTTACCATAAATTTTTAAATAACTAATATCTGAGACATTTCAATGAAACATCCTTTTCTCATCACTGTTGCACACATTTCTAGCATTTGTTGTAGAAGACTAGTTTTGAGAGAAAGATGAGGTGTTTTCAAAAAGTTCATGGAAAGATTTTGTATTTGTATTTTTGTAATTTTTTGACTCTACTTTTGCACAAACTTTTTGAAGTACCCTCATGTGTACACAAACACACATCAGGATTGTCATTTACTTTTGAGTCTAATGAACTATGTGTTCGTAAATTTTTAAAAAACCAAAACAAATTATTTTACAGGTCTCATCGGCAAAAAGTTAAAAGATAAATGAATACCCAAGATTTCCAATTCCAGTACAAATTACTCTATTTGCTTTTTATATTTTTATAAAACAAGAACTAGAACAATAACACAACAAAGACTTTTTACTCTAAAGCAAAGTCTTGTCTGTGTGGTTTTGGGGAAAATTTACTAATCAGGTACATTACTCAGCTATCTATCTTCAATATAAGTTAGTGGAACAAGATGTTCTCCAAGGTCATCTCAGTCCTCCTTATTAGTGACTCTTATCTTCTTGTGTCCCCTTTTCTTTCTTTCTTTTAAAAAATATTTTGACATTTATGTGTACATATTTGTGGGGTACATTGTGTTCTTTCAGACCATGCATATACGTACAATGATGCACTTAAGGTGGATGGCATAGTTTTGTACCTGTTAGTCTACCAGTTTTCCTACCCTTTTAAATTACAACTCCTACATGGCTCTTAAGTAGTTTCTACCTGTAAAATTCTCTCAGTGTAATCAGCCTCCCAGTTCTAATTTATGGTATAATTGAATATCTTGAGTACATTCTCTTTTCACTTCAAGTGTTCACACTGTCACTCATTTCTCCATGTTAGTTTTAACAATTTAAATATATATGCTTACCTTCAAGTATATTTTCAAGAATACTACAGTCCTTTAGAAGATAAGAAAGAAATCCAAATAATTCTATGATGCTATTAATTGACTCATTATATTACCCAAGTATGATGAGTAAAATAAAAAGGGTAAAATCATGTTGCTATAAGAATCCATGATGTTTTTGGTTCAGAAACACTTTGTAAGTTACATCTTTTGGACTATTAATTATACATAGTTGTGATGCTGATTTTATAAAAGTATAGTTTAGTAGTGGTAAGTTAGGAAATTAGAATCTATTTTAACCCAAAGGAAAACTAGAATACCAGGATAATATTATTTTAAGGAAGAAATAAAGAAAAATATAGAAGAATTACAGATTCAGATATAGGAAAAGATTAGTCTAGAATTTAGGGTCAACTTCTCTAGTGGAAACTACAGATTTTGGTAGAGAAGCTAAGAGGATGAATGGCTATGTAAAAGTTTGTACACATTAATAAAAATGGGAAACTGTGGGAAACAATCTAGGTGTTGAACCTTAGCTCAGAGCGGTAAACAACAGGAGTAAAGATGAACTAGATACAGGGCTGGCCCTGTGGTGAGTGAAGTGACTCAGGAATGCCAAGTTCTCTAGTTATCTGTGAAAAATCAAACATGCAAGACTTTCTGAGGAAATATAACATCCTCCTAGGTTCAAATCATGTCTATATATTTAATATACAATGTCTGGAACTGGCCAAGCAAAAGTACAAAACATAATGACCATAATGATAACGATAAAGCAAGAAGAGAACCAACAGACAATATAATTACATCCATAGGTCATATAGATAGCAGAAACTAGCAGGAACAGATTTTTTAAAATATATGTTTCGAGAACATAAAATAAAATATTAAAATTATTGGCAGATGTCTGGATACTATTGAAAAATATAAAGGGACTATTAGAAGTTAAAATGAAAATGTCTGAAAATAAAAGCAGATGGATTTAACACAGATTGGACACAGATGGAAAAAATTCAGAAAAATAAAATATGAGTATTAAAATAACAGTTTCAAGAGTAGCAGAGAGAATATAGGGATGGGAATTTTTCAAATATTGATAAGAGTAATAGGGGAGATAATAAAAAGATCTACACTTGAAATTGGAGGTTAAATAGAAAAGTGCATAGAGAACGAAGCAGGTGAAATGTTTGATAAGTGGCTAAATATTTTGCAAAGCTAATAAAATACATAGAGAAAAAGATTCAATAAGCAATAATATCTTAAGGAAAATGCAAAATAAAGCCATTCCAAAAAGACAATCATAAATACAAGCAAAGGGAAAAGATTACCTCTACAACAGCAGCAATAAGATTTATAGTTGACATTTTAGCCACAAATTTGAAGCCAGAATGCAATAAAATGACATTTCCAAAGGTCTGAAAGAAGGAAAAAATACTCAGTTAATCTAGAATTCCAAATCTTTGAAATAACCTTAAAAGAAGATGAAATCAAAGTATTTTAATAACAAATACTAAAAAAAAAAAAAAAAAATACCACCACCAGAAAAATTTACTCCAAAGGAAGTATTTAAGTTTATTCTTCAGACACGTATAAAATTATTACAGATAACATACCACCACCAGAAAAAATTACTCCAAAGGAAGTATTTAAGTTTATTCTTCAGACACGTATAAAATTATTACAGATAACATTGTGGCAACTCAGGAAGGAATGAATAGCAACATAGTAAGTACTAGAAAACAGAAATAAATATTGAAGGTATAAAACAATAATCACATGTGTGTAAAGTTTAAAATGTATAAGGAGAAGTGAATTACACCAATTGTGGTATATAATTCAGAAAGTGGGTAAATTGACTAAAATTGTTCTAAGATCCTTTTATTAACAGAAAGATGTAAGACTGCTAATTTATGTTAGACTTTGATAAGTTTCATGACATCTCTAAGGCGATGGCTAAAGTAATTGTAAAAATATATAAAAAAGAAAAGCAAATGAGACAGGCAGTGATGATAACAAAATAATTCAAAAGAAGAAATCCATTGTTGGGAAAGATCCACAGCTCAGGTTGAATTCAAAGTCAGTATATATAAGATAGTAGACTGACTAGAAAAAAACTAACAGTAATTATGCTAAATATGCATGAGTTTAGTAGTTTCTTTAATACACTAAAATTGCCAGACTACTCTAAATAGAAATATTATGCTTCTAGAGAGGGGGGACTAATGTAAATTATAATGACATAAAAAGACTGAAAGAAAAAGAATTCGAGTATTTCCAAGTTGGGTTTGCTTACTAATTTTAAGCCCTGTAAATTGCAAAAAGTCAGGGAAAGTGGTACAGTCACCATTCTATTTCTAGTATCTAGCAATTCTGAAAATATACACTAAAAAATGATTATAATTATATTAAGACAAGAAAGAAACTTTATAAAGCATCAATTAGTCTAACAATAATTAGCACATTCAAATCAGATTTGACTTTGAAAAAAATAGAGAAAAATGTCATAACCTGATGAAATTATAAAGGAATTGAGGGAAAGAACAAGAATGCAGCAACAGATATTGAGCAGTAGTACGAAAAGCAGGTGGATATTCAATTTATTTAAATATTTACAAAAAAAGAGCCAATATAGCCACATACTGGAACATGCTTTTTGTGACAAAGCATTTTCTCTTTCTAAACTTTCATAAAATTGCATATTCAACCTCATTTATATTAGGTGCTATAACTTTTCCATTCCTTGTTTCTGCAATAATATTATCTTCACACGGTCATAGATCAGTTTGGTTCTGACTCCATATATGACAGGATTGAGCATTGGTGGCACTACAACATACAGATTGGCCAGGAGTATATGGATATAGCGGGGGACGTTTTTGCCAAACCGATGTGTCATAAAGGAAAAGAGGGCTGGTGTGTAGAAGGCAAGGATTACACAAACATGTGAACCACATGTGCTGAGAATAAATATAAATAAGCCCAAATGTCATTAGTTTTAAACAGAAATTTATTTTAAGACACTTTGAACCCAAAAATAAATTCCCTTACTAACACACCAAGACCAATCACAGAAACAACCTTGTTGGTAAGGATGGTGCTATAATGTAGTGGGTTGCAGATGGCCACATAGCGGTCATAAGCCATTGCCAAGAGGACTGTTGACTCCATAAGGGTAAAGTTGTGGATGAAAAACATTTGGGTGAGGCAGGCTTCAAAGATTATCTCTCTGAGGTTCATCCAGAAGATCCCAAGCATCTTGGGGATGGTAGCTGTAGAGAGGCCCAAGTCAATGGTAGCCAACATGGCCAGGAAGTAGAACATGGGCTGGTGAAGGCTGTTTTCAGACTTTATCACGAACAGAATTGTGAAGTTCCCTATGAGTGCAATCATATACACAGCACAAAAGGGAAAGCTGATCCAAATGTGAAGGGTTTCTAGTCCTGGGATCCCCAATAGCAAGAAGGATGAGGGGTGAAACTGGGTGTCATTGGGAAGGAACATTCTTCTTGGGAATGCAGTAAGTCCACAGTCTGCAGAAATGTATGTTCATGCAATCTGTAGGTCTCCAGATAGTTTTCTGCAGCTTCAGAGACCTAAAGATAATATAATGAACATTATACATTTGTATGCATGTTCTTCTGTGGTTAATTCTATCAATTTGAAATGTACTGTGTGCAGAGACCTTTAGATAAGTGAAATCTCAAAGATGAACTCTTGTAAGAAGCTATACAGTAAATTGAAATAAAATGTCTTATGTGGTAAGTTCAATTTTGCTAGCATCCCACTCTTCTAATAGCTTGTCAATAGCCTTATCACCAATATTTTGCCAAAATTTTGCCTTAGTACTCTTTCCACTAGCTGCCTTCCTCATTATCACCCTCATTGGAAACAGAACTCCCTTTCATTTTGACCAACTTAGAGTTCTGCTAGCTCTTAATTAAAGTTCTGGAAATGAATTCCAGTTGATTAAAATGACAACATATAGAAATTAACACACAGGATTGGTAATGTCTATTCAATAAACACAGAGACTCATCAAAATTTGTGCCGATATATTAAAAATCACTTTTAAGGATTAAATTGGTCAATTTGCTAATATTTAGTCATTATTCTCATAAAATAAGATAGGGAATAATAGTGAAAATAGTAACATCAACTACCAATTATTGAGTTACCTTTATTACTTGCAGGGCTTTATGTTAGACTCTGTGTCAAGCTCATCTCTAATCTTAAGAAAAGCACCCTTCAAGGAAAATATTAATTTTCCATATTTTATGCATAAGTGATATGAAGATCAAGGAATTTAAGAGTCCTACAAGAATTTTAAAATCTTTTAAAAGATCAGGGATATTAAGCTAGAAGAAAAATAGTGAACAGAAAAGAAAGAGAAATGGAAAGAAAGAAAAAAGGTAATGTATGCCTTACCTGTGTTATATACACTGGGGAACACACACACACACACACATAATCCTCCACACATATTATACAAATACATATACAATCTTTTTTAAAAACTCACAACATCCATCTGGATAATGTATTTTAGTATTTCTATTTCATAGCTGAGGTTATCATGATGTTAGGAATATAAGACACATATCAAAATGTGGAATCAGAAAAAATTATATTAAGTTAAATAAGGCAGGCACAGAAAGAGAAATACCACGTTCTCACTTATTTGTGGGAGCTAAAAATCAATCAATCAATAAATATACAAAGAAATGGTGGTGAGGGGCAGGGCAGAAGACACAACAATCATAATTCCTTGAACTTGTTAAGACAAGTGAACAGATATGATGCTGATGTGGGGGGAGGGAGGGAGAAAGAAGAATTGGTAAAGGGACACAAAAATCAACTACATTGGATATCGATAAATTAAAACAAAAAAGCATGGAATTAAAAACTACAGAAAGAAAAAAATTAGGAGCATTGGAAAATTAGGTTCATAATAATTCAATTATTTTTAAAGTTATCTAAACTCTTTTTATGAGTCTTCATGTACTTTGCTCATGACATTTGATAATGGAACATTTCCAAACCATTTTTTAATTGATATGTGTAATTATTGAATATTAAAAACTCTCCTTTCTAATCATTTGAGAATTCAAGAGAGAAATACTAATTATGACTTCCTTTTCAGCAAGAGAAGCCAGTGTATTATCTAAGCATTGATTAAAAAAAAAAAACCCAAAAACCAAGAAGAGTGTGTATAATAAACAGGTTATGGAAGAAGAGGTACAATATGGATGATAAGCATGTGAAAAGAAGCAAAGTAAAGTTTTTGATAGGTACTTCAAAATGTTTGTGGAAAAATAAAATTATTGAAAAAATTAATTATCCTTATTTGAGCATCACATATTGCACACGGGTAATGATATTCAACTCTATACCCCACAGATATGTACAATTGACTATATTACAATAAACACTAAATAAAATTTTTAAAAGACAATGCAAATTTGTTCATGAATTTTTTGAAATGACCTCGTATATGCATATGAGGGGTCTTCGAAAACTCTCTTCGAAAAGTTAATGTTAAATGCGTATTATGAAAAAACTGTGGGTGGATTTCATAAAGTTTTTTGCATCAAAATAAACTTGCACTAACTTGTTATAATGTGTCTGAACAGGATCTACTTTGAGACACTAAGAATGATAAGACATCAATTTGAAAACATCCCCTGTCAGAGCAACATGAATTCTGCTAAAACTGAAGCAAGAACACACATCAAATTTATGGTGCAGCTTGGGTGAAAGAATGGTGAAAGTTCTGAAGCTTTATGGAAAATTTATAGGGAGGATGGCCCAAAGAAATCAGCAATTTACAAATGAATAACTCATTTTGAGAAGGGACAAGAAGATGAAGTCCACAGTGGCAGACCATCTACACAAATTTGCTAGGAGACAAAAATTATGTCTGTTCCCTAATTGAAGAGGACCAATGAATAACAGAAGAAACAATAGCCAGCACCACAGACGACAACAAAATTGGCTTAAATTACACAATTCTGGCCGAAAAATTAAAATTGAACAATCTTTCAGGTTGGTGGGTACTAAAACTGTTGTGTCCAGATCAGCTGCAGACAAGAGAAGAGCTTTCAATGAAAATTTTAAACAGATGAGATCAAGATCCTGAAGCATTTCTTCAATGAATTATGACAGGAGATGACACATGGCTTTATCTGTACAATCCTGTAGACAAAGCACAAACAAAGCAAAGACTACCAAGAGGTGGAAGTGGTTCAGTCAAAGAAAAGCAGACTGGTCAAGAGCAAAGGTCATGGCAACAGTTTTTTGGGATGCTCAAGACATTTTGCTGACTTTCTGAAGGGCCAAAGAATGGCAACATATGCTTATTAAGAGAGTTCTGAGAAAGCTCTAGCAGAAAAACACCAAGGAAGCCTTTACCACAGATCCTTCTTCCCCAGGACAGTTCTTCTCTTCACTCCTCTTGTCAAATGAGCAATTTTACAAGTGTTTCAATGGCAAACCATTAGACGCCCAACTTACAGTCCTTTTTCTTTCCTAATCTTAAACAATCTTTAAATGGCACTCATTTTTTCTTCAGTAAAAATGTAAAACCAGACTTCATTGACATGATTATATTTTTGGGACTCTCAGTTCTCTAGGAATGGACTAATAGCTGGTATCATCACTTACAAAAGTGTCTTGAACTGGATAAAGCTTATGTTGAGAAATAAAATTTATATTTTTTATTTTTATCTTTCTCTAGGAATGGACTAATAGCTGGTATCATCACTTACAAAATTGTCTTGAACTGGATAAAGCTTATGTTGAGAAATAAAATTTATATTTTTTATTTTTATCTTTTAATTCAATTTTTCCACAAACATTTTGAAGTACCTTCATATTTTCTTTTGTCTGGCTTCTTTTGTTCAGCATAATTATTTTTAGATTTTTCCATATTGGCATGTATATCAATAGTTCATCTCTTTTTCCTGATGACTCCTATTTTAGTATACGGAGATTCCGCAATTTGTTTACCATTTACCTGTTGATGAATATTTGATATGTCTTCACTTACAAAAAAAGCTGCTGTAGGCATTTGTGTAATTTTGTTCATGTCCCCTCATGTAAATGCATACATACGTCTATATTCAAGGCAGTTCTAATTTTTTCAGAAAAGAACTGATAAAATGTTAATTTGGTCGACAACTTCCTTATAAAAACCTTTTGGATATAGATAGAATAGTAAAATATCTGCTTATAGTACTAAACTTATAACATGGGTTAACATCATGTTTTTGTTTTCTATAAAATTTATTCCTGTTTTCTCACCCAAATCTCCTATCTTCAACTTCCCAAGCCAATGTCTTTTTTTTTTGGCCTACCTCTTCTTCCCTCCTTTCCTTTTATGACAATTGGTTTCCCTCCAAGCTTTGCCCTCTTCCCCCAAATCAGACTTACTCAAGGGTATAGGCCACTTCTGTTTACCCATAGCTTCATTAATTTTCACTGTTTTGCTTTCTCACTTTGAACAAGAAAGCTCAAGTTGAAGAAATTCTTTTCGAAAAGGGCTAGAAGGTTACAAGTTTATATACCTATGATGAAAGAAGCTTCTTATTTGTCTTGGTTATATAGGGCCCCTGGAAAACTGAGTGAACTGAAGCCTCTTATGCTGTATAAGGAGCAGGGACCTGTGGTCCTAAGGGATGCAAGTTACTCAGGTTGAGGCAGAGGGAGTTTCCATAGAAACTGAGAATGCTTAAGGGAGGATCAAGTGGAACATAATAAAGGAAACCTTAGCTCTATCTCTATGGCAGACTGAGTGTAGGTGTGCAGTGAGGGATGGACACATTCCAACTGAGTAATTCTTCTAATAGAATAAAGAGACTATGAATACTAAAATTGTACAATAGAATACAAGGACTATGGTAATAAAGTGGATGTTAGAAATGGGCAGTTTCTAGAAACTACCCCGAGTGTTGTATGGGATCCCATAGGGGACCTTCCTAAGTGTAAATGTGAGCCAGAAATAAACGTGTTCTCTGACATAGGTTCAAACCACCTCAAATCCTGGTATGATTTAGGAAATCTAAGATTGTTAGTGACCTTAGTCAACTCCAGAAGTAAACATAAATATAAGTCCTCTAGGCCAGAATAACACTATATAATATTATCCTGGGCCTCAAATTTTTTCTGCTTTACTTTACACAAAATATATTTTATTTGCATAATCAATCAAAAAAAGAATCAATCAAATGTGACATAAAACCAAAAATTTTTTTAAAAAAGAACAACATAGGAATAAACATAGGAGATCCAATAATGCAGCTTTTAGACAGGTTTTATAACAGCTATGGTTAAATACATTCAAGAAAATAAAATATAAGATTAAATAAAGAAACTAAAATATTTTTGAGAGATCCAAATGGAAACTCTGTATCTGAAAAAAATACTTAAAAAACTCAAATTAAGAAATTACTGTGAGTGAACTATATTATTGAAAACGTTAAGTAGTAAAGCCAAGCTTTCCACCC